CTGAGCTTGAGCGAGCTTAGGCTGGGCTCGTGTTCGGCTCGTTTGAAACTGCTCTTGTTCAAAATTGGCTCGTGAACAATGTGTTCATGTTCGGCTCGATTTAAATATTCATGTTCGTGTTCGGCTAGAAATTTGCTCATTAAAATTAAATTGAAAAAAAATAGATATAAAGTGTTAGATTCGAATCTGGACTAAATATATGCAAAAGAAGACACTAACCACATTACCACACAAGATATTACTATTTAAACTTAGATATAAATATATATAATATATTTTTATATAGATAATATATGTAATATATTATTATATAATAATTTTTTTTTTTTATTTCAAGCTAAAACAAGCCGAACACGAGCGAACAAAGAGATGTTCGTGTTCAGCTCGTTTATAATTCGAGCTTTAAAAACATGTTCGTGTTCAGCTCGTTTACTTAAGAAACGAGACGAACACGAGCTGTTCGCGAACAATGAACTATTTTGACAGCCCTAGTTGAATCTATGCGTTTATACGTGCCGGAAAAAAAAAAGATGTTTGAGGATTTATCATGAATTTTGATACTTGGGTGATATATAATTTGAAAAATGGATGAAAGAGAGAGTAGATTTGTAAATATAAATGTTTGGAGTGCTTTGTATGTAATTTTCTCACATATTTTGTAATTTTTTGTAGCCATTGACTTAATAGTGGATGGCTATGATGAAGGTGAGAACAAAATGTAAAAGCTTTGGGAGACAAAATTATAGGGCATGATGCTGTGAATAATGGAAGAATATTATTTTTTTGATTTAGCTCCATGTTATGTTGCAAGTTATAATCAATAAATCCTTATGAAAATGTGATAAAATATTCATTTCTAATAAATAATAACTTATGCTTAATGTTCAAAATATATTAAATTTTATACTTTGAAAAAAAAAAACAAATTAACGATAAATAAACAGTGGCATTATTTAGAATAAGTTTTAATATAACTCATGTAAGCACAAATACTATTATCAAGCCTATTTGCTAAAGTGTTGAATCAAGCCCACCTTCTGAAGTGTCTAGATCAAGGCCATTTGCCAAAATGGTTGTGTCAATTCCTGTCGAAAAAACGGTCAAGCCCACTTATGCGAGAGCGCTATCGAAGAAGGTCATCATGACATGTAAGAACAAATGTCAATCTGCGATTAAATGCCCTTCGCTATACTTAGAACGAGGTCTTTTATTCAGACACTAGGGATGGTCGTCGTACCAACACCGTCTGACACCCACATCATAATATTTTCATTAAGATATCAAGAGAAAGTGTTGCACTGTACAAAATATGTCTCATCTATTATTTTATTGTATTTCTTCCTTGTGCATGAAAGGGATGTCAAAAGGATATCGAGGGAGATTTTTTTCCTAAAAGAATCCTTTCCTCTCTCACTCTCTCTATGAAATCTTATAGCTTAGAAAACTTTCAGTTCACTAAAGATATGAACTCAATACTTTCTTCGAGGTTCTCTCATCTATCTCTCTCTCTCTCACACACACACATTTCTCTCTATGATACATGGTCTTATCGGGATGTATGCACTCACGAACAATTCGAGAATTCAGTAACTCAAAATCTTAATGATCGATAACTTTCAACATGTTTTCTAAAATATTTCTTTTTTATGAAAATATCATAAGAAAATATAAACCCAATGAGTTCATAACTTAAATATACATGATGACTTCTATAATGTCTCATTTTGAACATGCCTTGCCCTTCTAATACCAAAATATACATCAAGACTTCTATGTACAAATTTTCCATAGAAATATTCCTTTGACACGTAGCCTCTCAATCATAAGAGAGCTAAGATGATTGGATTAGCATTTGACATGAACATAATACCCGCCAATGTGCGACCCACAAACAAAACCTTAAATTAAAGGGTGGGCCAATCAACATGCTAACTTGTGTGGGGACCACCTCAAGCACGCAGGGAAGCAAAATGATCAGGCTTAATAGATCCTTCAAGATCCAAAATTGGAGATGCTATAAATGATGTTCAAATTTTATTTTATAAATCTCTTACATATTTATAGTTTGCTATTAAATGTTTTATTAATTATATGCATTTAAGCAAAAAAATAAATGCTTAAAATATGATTGAAAAAATTTAGGTTATTAATTGGAGTAAGAAAATATGCAAAATTAAAAATGATTTGAGTCGAAATTTGCATCTCAACGAGAGCACGTAACAAACTGAAGATCATTTATTTCTGAGATCGTTAAAACACTTTAATGCTAAAAATACAGTCAATGATTAAGAAAAATAAGAATGCAAGCCATTCAATGGAGTTTTCTAAATCCTAATCGGAATCACCAAAAGACAACTTTATAAAATTATAAATGAACGCAGAAGAGATTAAACTTGATTGTTTAGAGAGTATTGAGATTTGAAGGATTCTAAATTTCTACCGATTGTTTGATGTTGATAATGTCCACTAATCAGCTTTATTGTGTGACTATCAACATCTAATCATCATCATCAAACTATCATTACCCAACCTTATATTGCATTTGTTGTTATCTAAACTTTATTTTTTGGCTATTGTCATTCTGCTAATATCACCCGATTTTTATAGAACAATTACAATTTTTAAGTCATTCTTATCTAGTTATCATTGTCCATCCACCCCGATGATTTTTTTATCACAAAATATATTTGGCTTAACAATGTCATATTTCTCTAAGTTACCCCAAATATATAGTATCCATAATTTAATTTCATATCTTCAACCAATTCATCAATATTAATATTTATACAAGTTTTGATCCTTCCGTGATTGTTTTTCAAGATATTAGTCATTTCCCATAAATTTTGTTGGTATACATTAGAACTCTCAAAAGCCACCTAATCCTTTTTCTATGAATTTTATGTGTGCTATCTAACAATGCCTACAATAAAAGTATGGAGATTTACATCATACCACTCACTTGGAAAAATAGTCGACGACCACTAGTAGAAACTTTTGTTATCCTTTTGACAGGGGGAAAGCTCCCAGAATGGTGAGGCCTCACATGACGAACGACCAAGGACTAATGATCGGGTGAATTTTTTAGAACTGTTGATGACACAATGATCTGTACTTCTGACATTGTGTACACCTTCGAGAATATTCTTTGGAGTCCTTCAGTAAGCTCGGCGAGAAGTAATCTTGTCGTTGAATTCAGTGAGCTAGCGTCTTTCGTCTGGAATGGCTCCCGCATTCCCCATCACGAGCTTCTTGGAGAATGTCTTTAACCTCGTCCTCCCCAATGCATTTTAGGTATAAGAACGTGGCCGACTTTCTGAAGAGTTTTCCTTCGATTAGCAAATATTAGATAGTCTTATATTTGAATCTCCTACGATCAGTGATTTCTTCGGCGATATCCCCCTATTTAGGTGTCAGATGTATGAGCTCATCCAACTTTATTCCTTCTCCTAATGTATCTCGATCGCTAGTTGTTCTTTGATTAAGGGTCAATCGTGTCTTTTCGGCAGCCCCTCTCCTAGATGGAGGCTTCATAATAGGATGTTGGTGATCTGATTTCCTTCCCTTAAGACATGTTCGATTATGAAGCTAGTAAAGTGACTGATCTCCGTCTTCACCTTCCCTAGGTACTTCACCATTTGCTTTTCATTGGCTTCAAATTTCCCATTGATCTGCTGCACTATGAATTGTGAGTCGGTCCTTACCATTATGCGGAAGTCCTGCAATTAAAACCTCATATTCCACTTAGTTGTTAATCTATAAAAAACCTACATCAATTGAGTGGTAGACGTTTTACTCAGTGGGGTTGCACAAGAAAATTCCAAGTACAACGTTTGATTGGTCGGATGCCCCATCGATAAATAAGACACAAGTCAATCCGTTGATCGCTAGAACATCTTTCACCCCTCTTGGTTCGTAGAAATATGCCAGAAAATTTACAAACGCTTGTGCTTTTATTGTCGTTTGAGGGATATATGAGATATCAAACTCGTATGAGTTCCATGACCCATTTCAACAGCCAACCGAAATACTCTAGCTTGGTAAGAACAGATTTATGGGGTGATTTGTGATAATTTGTATGGGGTGTTCCTGAAAATATTGTTGGAGCCTCCCTGCTGAAGTGACCAAGACGAAGGCTAGTTTCTTCATTATGGGATATTGAAGTTCAGCGCCTTTAAAAACTCGGCTGGTGCAGTACACTAGATGCTGCTTTTTGAGCTCTTCTCTGACCAAGACTGAGCTGAAGGCTTCGGGGCTTACCCCGAGTTAAATATAATGCTTTTCCTTCAGCTTTAGGCTCTGAAGGAGAGGAGGAGAGGCAAGGAACTGCTTGAAGTTCTTGAAGGCCTCTTCACATTCAAGTGTTCATTCGAAGCATTGGGCTCTCGTGAGTACTATAAATATTGGGGCGCACTTATTACCTGACTTGGAGATTAACCTGCTCAAACCTACGATCTTACCAGTTAGCTTCTCGATTTCCTTAGTGCTTTTGGATTTTTTCTGAGTTGGCCTTTATGCCTTCATGGGTTAGTATATTGATGATGGTTGCCGATCAACTGAAAAGCCTTGATTCGCCTAACATATAGTTTGAAAGAGTACTCTCCATCAATCGTTCTGAATATCGATTACAAACTTACGGGATTTTCTCTCAGCGTCTAATGAAGATCATTCGAATATGGAGCTTCCTTCGCCAATTCTCATCTAAAAACAATCATCGTATTTATCTTCTTCGTCAGTTGCTCATCTATTTTAAGATTCATGCTGACACATTTTTATGTTCGTAACATGATTTAAATTCAAAATTTCATAATAAAAAAATTATACTTTCAATACGTCACATAATATCCTCTCTGTTCAAGAACAGGCCAAAAATCCAAGGGCAACCCAACAATCACCGGCTACAGCCGGTAACCCACCGGCTGCGCTGTGGCGAATCTCAGTCCAAAAAGTACCTCTGCCTATTTTTATTCGCCGGTCCTCCCATTAATGCTGAAGATCTCAAATCCTTCCAAAAGCCTCCTCAATTTCTCACTCAACCCCCGCTTTGCTCCCTATTTCTAAAAACGCTTACTTGATCGAACTGAGGCAGCAAAGCTTGTATCTGAGAGTCTAACGCCGTTATTCCTCCGCCTACCGGCCGTCAACGGCGACGATGGCCGGAGAGTTGCTCGGACGGCTCTGTAACGACGGTGGGTGGACGTACGGCGCGCTCTGGCGCAACGATTGCGGTGATCCGCGGTAAGTTAAAAGCATTGATTTGTTCGTCTCCGTTGTGCCGCCATTGATTTTCTTGACAGCATTTGATTCATGGATGCTGTACTGCAAGTCTGTAAGATCACATTATGTTCTTCAGTATATTTTTCTTGTAGCAATTTGAAGATTTTGCCGGGTTTTTAATGCTTATTTGTTTGGAGAAAATGGGGGTTGAGCATGTAATATTTAAAAAGGTTTGTAAAAATTTAATTTTTTTGATACAGTGCAGCATCTTCACTCCATGGATTGGATCTTTCAGCTCCGATGGTTTTGTTTTTTAGTTGAGTTTCAGGGTTTCAGCATCTTTAGTGCTTAATTTGTATTTGGTTTGCGACAAATTTAATAATTAAAAAAAGGCCGACTTTTTGCATTTCTTTTTGCTAAAAAAGTTTGTTTGCATTTCGTTGGCTGATAAACATGCTTAATTTTTTTTATTTTTCTGAAAAAAGGTTGTATTAATTCTGTCATCATTTGGACTGACCTTTTTTTCTTTTAACACTTTGCATTACCTTTTTAGCTCTTTGCAATGCACCAGGGGTATCAAAAATTGGTCCGACATGCTAACTCGACTCGAATTAGAGCCGAAAAATCCGGGTTAAGGTTGATCCGGATATTTTTTGAGTCGGGTTTGGGTCAGAGGATTCTACCTGTTTATTATTCGGGATGGGTTCAGGTTGAACATAAAAATCAAAATATAACCCGAATAAAAAATAAAATTTCTACCTGTTTATTATTCATGACGGGTTCGGGTTAACATAAAAATCAAAATTTAACCCGAATAAACATGAAATTTCAAATCATGTTCAGGATCAGCTGGTCAAGTTCGGGTATGAGTCTTAGTTTGCAACCCATTTATTTTTTTACCCTTTTCAAGGGGTCATTTTTGAGCCGGACCTGAACCGGACCTATTGATTTGAATAGATGATTTTCCACTTTTCCATAAATTTTGTTTTAGTTTCTTATATATATATATTTCTTTTATTATTATTATTATTATTATTTGGGTTTGGAAGGGAATCATTGTTTTAAAATTTAAATAGAATATAAATTTTAGAAAATGATGATTTATTTATTTTTAACTATTTTTACGTAGGCTGTTAATTGATTGCTTGCACATGGAAAATATGTTTTTAAGAAAAATAGGAATTTTATTTTCATTTATTTGAGTGAGAAATTGAACCCTCACTTCAGGCATTTACTTAAATACCATCAAATTCCTATATAAGTCCTACATATTTACATATCTCACACCTATATTTTATCTTTTTACATTTATGCCATCCAAATCTTTCATATCATATAACAAATATCACTATTTTAATTTAAAAAAGTGAAATACAATTTTTTTATGCATAATATAGCATCTATGTAAAAAAAGAAGTTTAGTTGTTAGATATGTAAATACATAGAAATTGAGTGATATGTTTGTAATCTTCCCTTTTTTTTCTAGGGGCATTTACATACACACCACAGAACACTTATGTATTTATATATCTAAACACCTAAACATTCATATTTACATTCATACCACTCAAAATTTTTAAAATCACATCAAAAATACCTCAATAACCATCCTTGTAAAAAAGAAATACACCTTTCATGCAGAAGTTTAAGAAATCAAACTGTTCTAATTGCAACTATGAAAATTTGGGGGTTGGACATGCAAATACCTAAGAATTGCGTGGTATGTATGTAAATTTTCGTTTTTTTTTTTAATTAAAAAGCTCATTCTAAGATTCATTCCATTTACAGGTTACTTATGTTGGGGGAAAGCTACCATGAGGAACACAGTGGGATGATTTTTCAGGTGGTGGCCAATCAGGTCCATTTGATTGGGCAAGGGTAATCTTTTCTCTTGTTTGCTGATCTTATAAAATGGGTAGCCATTTCATATATTATTAAGTAAAATTCAATTTCTTCATGGTCATATTTTTATAACCCACACAAAATCTGTATTTATTGTTATACCATCCTATTTTTAAGTAAATAATAAATAAATAAATAAATAAGGCTAATATTGAAGTACTGTGTATTAACTGTGAAGAGCCATTGGAGAAGTAGCCATGAGTGGAAAGCACAGGTGGATAAATCTTGATGCAATTTGTATGGAGACAAGTGAGAACAGCTCTAGTGTCAATCCAGACATGTTCCAGGTACAACTGCAAATTTGCTTTTGTTTTTATCTTTCTTCTTTTCCATTTCAATGCTTCTTTGGTTGATTTTTTATCATAAAGAGCATCCTAATCTTAACTATTAAAAAAAAAAAAAAAAAAAAAAAAAAGGGTTTTAAATTCTTGCCAAAGATCAAAATTTACAACAGAATCTCATTTCATTATGCCATTATCAGGGTAGTGCTGAGTGGCAACATCAGGTTTGGGCTGGAATGAAGGTTTGTTATTACATTAAACTCAGCTGCACACTTGCTCCATTCATTTTTAAGGGGATTTACATACATACCACATAATTCCTATGTATTTACATATCTAACACTTAAAATTTCATATTTACAAACATAACACTCGTATCTTTAATTTCGCTTAAAGGTAAATATAAAAATATTGTGGGGCATGTAGGTAAATTTTTTTATTTTTATACATCTTTGCAAATGTCCCACTACTAAATAGATTCCCAAACTGTCTTTTCATTTTACAGACAATTGCAATAATCTCTCTTCCCCCATATGGAGTGCTTCAATTTGGTTCCACCCAAAAGGTTAGTGATTCTGAAAGTATTATGTAAATATGGAAGTTTAGGTGTGAGATATGTAAATACATAAGAATTGTGTGCTAGATGTGTAAAAATTCTCTCAAAAAAAGGCAGAGGATTGGTCTCCTTAGCTTGCGAGGAACAATTCTTCTTTCTCTAGCTTTCTCTCTCTATGTCCTCACTCATCTCTCTTTCTCTTTCTCTCCCCCTCTTTTCTCTCTCTAACTACTGGAGGGGGGAAAATGAGGCCAAATTAACTGGGGAGGGATATTGAAGGGGCAGTGACATGGTAGTAAATATTGTAATGCTTTAAGTTGTAGTTTAATTTGCAAAAATACCTTGAGAACATAACTTTTATGAAATTGTGAATAAAATCAATGGCAAATTGGTCACAAAAGGGCAACTTATAACTAGCCAAAAGTTACAATTCTAACACTATAATTACCTACACAACACAAACAAGCAATGCAAAAAAACATGCAGAAATTCACACATTAAACATTAAAGAAATAACAACAAAAGCACAAAACAGCTTCAATAAAAACCAAAACATAACATTGTCCATAACAGATTAATATATATATATATATAGGCTCTAGTACAAATATTTTGTCTTAATTTTTGAATTATATCCTAAATTTTCAGTTTCCACTTTCCTTTCAGATCCTTGAAAGTTCAGACTTCATTGCACAAGCTCAGCATTTACTTCGCCAGCTTGGAATCAAACAACACGGCCTTGAAAACCAGTTCTATGGTACACCTTCAAGTAATTCGTTCGGCGCATCTTCGAAATCGACCATGTGGCCTATAGATATTAATTCTTCCAATTATACGGGGAATAAAATTTGCCCCCCAAAGGCCGTATCTGAACTATTCGACATAATTCCAACAGCCTCAAATTCTTCTATTATCCACTGTGTCACTGCAAATCCAGCTGTTTGTGTCGCATCTTCTCCGGTGGATGCTCCTAATCAGGCTTTTACAGATAATGACTTGTTTGATGGCATGGAATTCAATCCCGTTCCAATGATTTCGAGGAGAGAGTGTTGGGATGACATAATTTTGCCAGTTTCTAGCAATGGTTGCGCAGATTTTAGTGCTGATCTTTGGAACAGTGTATCTGAATTCGAAATGAGCTCAGTTACTGGTCCTGCCAAAGGGTTGTTTTCAGATTCTAGCAGTTTTGAAGAGCTATTGGATGCTGTTAAAATATCAACTACGACTAAACACGGCCACGGAGATGCTGAAATCCCCAAAGCATCACCGTCCAAATGTGATGTGGAGGAAATGATGCGAGTATCTATAATTAATGATGTTTGTAGTGTCAATGCTGAAGGTCCTGCAATTCATCAGCCCGAGAAACCAGAGGAATCTGCCAAACCGGTTAGAAAAAGGGCGAGACCTGGGGAGAATACTCGTCCGAGGCCTAAAGATCGTCAGCAGATACAAGATCGTGTAAAAGAGCTGCGAGAAATTGTTCCTAATGGTGTGAAGGTGCTTATTATTAATCTCTCCTTGAAATATTACTTAAACACCAGATTTCATGTGATAAACTTCCCTTCTGCATGAACATAAACAGTGCAGCATCGATTCTTTGTTGGACCGAACTATTAAGCATATGCTCTTCTTGCAAAGCATAACAAAATATGTTGACAAGCTCAAACTACCCGGCGAGCCCCAGGTCTGACACACACACACACGCGCTCTCTCGCTCTCTAATCAAGTCATTCAACACTAAAATTATTATTTTTGGGTATTAAGTTAATAGGTGAAGAGAGTGGAGTTGTTCTAAAAGACAATACAAATGGTCAAGAAGGTGGAGCTACTTGGGCCTATGAAGTAGCTGGGCAAACCATGGTGTGCCCAATATTGCTTCAAGATGTTTATCCTTCAGGGCAGTTGCTTGTTGAGGTAAAAAAAATGCTTATTTCATCTTTTATATTCAAGTTGACCTGCATCTTACAAGTTTCTCATTGCCCACAGATGCTCTGTGAAGAACGAGGATTGTTTCTCGAGATAGCAGAAGTTGTTCGCGGATTTGGTTTGACCATCTTGAAGGGAAACATGGAGATTCGCGATCGAAAGGTCTGGGCGAGATTTCTAGTGGAGGTAACTGGTTGAATTCTTCTAAATTGTATATCTTCATTAAACAGAAAGATGATCCCACTGCTTCTGCAGGCAAACAGAGATGTTACAAGAATGGATGTATTTCTGTCTCTAGTACAGTTTCTGCAACAAAAAAGTAGCTTTCGATTCAGTGAGTCACATAAAACGACCATCTCAACTGGAGTTAGTTCATTGACTGCTTGCAAACGACGATCCCTGGCTCCGATTCCGATGGGTCTGGCTGATAAACTTCGCTGACCATTTTGTTAGGATGATCTAGAATTCGTTGAATTTATACTAGTTGAATGTGCATTTGGTGGGCTCCTGCAGGCTGCTTATCCATTGTAGTGTCTATTTCAGAGCTGTAGCAGAGTTTAATATGTTTAACAATTATTTCATATCTTTGCCTATAGATGTTCATTGTTGTTGTGCAATAGATTTTGTTGAAATGTTCTAAAAATTTTTGAAGTTATATTAAATTTATTTTCATGTTTGTTGTAGATTCAAGTTCGACCTTTGACAACATTCTAGGGTTCCTAGAAGGTGTTTAGGAGATGGATATAGCGAGGAAGTGGTTGTGGAATAACAAGAGAATGAGAAAATGCGAGGTCAAACTGTTTGAAAGGGGATAAGAGGCATATGACGACCATCCAGGCTAAAAACATTGGAGAGAATACCGGCTTCAATGACGCACGGTTGCCGAGGGTGCAAGGAAGAAGATAGAATAGAGCTAAAAATCAGAAACTAAAATCTCCAATTATACAAAACCAAAGCAAAAGTCTTCAAGAACAAGAAATAACAAAGACATAGATAGCTCCCTCTCAAAATAACCCTAACTCTAACTTAAGAGCTCTGTTTGTAAGGTGTGGAGATCCCTTGGTGACGATACTGTTTCTTCACTTTCAAAGTTAAGGTACGTAGATTGAGTAAAGACCAATAAAAATATAGTTGCATCACAATGTTGATTGATGGCTTTAGCTAGGGGTGTAATTGAACCAAACAAACTCGTGAGCCAACTTGAGCTCGACGAAGTGGCTTGTGAACTGAGCTCGATAAGATAATAAGCCAAGATCAAGCCACAATACTGACTTAGACTTGTTAGCCTGTAAGCTGGTTCACTTAAAAATAATTAATATTAAATATACTTAAAATATATTAAATTTTAACAATTTATCTTTAAACTATTAAAAAATTAAAAAATAATAATTTTTTATATTTTAAATCAAGTGATTTCTTATTATTTATCTCCTAATAATTCTTTTTATTTGACATTTTATTATAATAGTAGCTTTAATTAATATTATTTCCTCTCTTTCATAATAAACAAGCTGGCTCGTTAGCATGCTCAAACACCATAAAAGTAAGCTCAAGTTCGAGTTTGAGCTCCACTAATTAATCAAGCTCAAGTTCAAGCTGAGGGTGGCTCCAACTCGACTCGATTCGTTTACACCCCTAGCTTCAGTCTTACAAGACACATCACCATTGCATGCTCATTTGATTCCACCAACTTGCATTTCAGCACACATTAGTCAAATTCAATTGTGTACTCATCCACAAAAGAATCTCTCTAACACGTCTTCATTTCATCTTTAAACCATATGATCTTACTCTTCCCTTCCTGCTGTCGAAGACACTTTAAGTTCTCCCACCACAAAGAAACATTCTTCATGAGTAACTCACTTGTTGTGCTGAACATCTTATGCTAAAAAATGTGCTCCACTGTTCAAAGCCACTCAATGAATTCATCGAGACCTAAATATTCATCAATATCCGATAGGTAAATCTTTACTCCAAAATCATAGGCTCTACGCTGATGTTCAATGTCAAATCATGAGGGTGTTGGTACATCATTAAAAACTTTATGGTGGAAGGGATTCACTTCCTTCTTTCGATCCAATATGCTACAATTGTGGCTATGGGCGTCCTCTCCAGGTTATCTGCTTTCAAAGGCGACAAACGTTTATTGCAGTTGTAAGATTCTTCTTTGCATATCATCAATTATAAGTTTTAAAACACTTCTTTGCATGTTTCTCCTAGGTGACAATGTGTCATTTTCTCCTAATTAGGATTTTGACGAATACAAGATTGTAGATCAAAGGTTGGCTAATGTCTTAAAGTTAATTAGTAAGTGTCCTAACAGATTTTTGGCAGAGTTAGGAAGATTGGTTTTTCAAGTTTTAGGTTTATGGCTGATAAATGCGGTAGGAATGATTAGGATATCAAGTTGTAGGAAGGTTTAGACATAAGTAAAGATAACTTCTTAAAAAATTATGGTTTCTCGAGCTCTTATACCAAATGACAGTGTTCATGAGTTCTTAGAAGATATTTAAGAGATTGGTCTAGTAGAGAGATGGTTATCAAATAGCAGGGGAATGGGAATATGTGAGGTTGCCGGTGTTTAGAAAGTTATAAGAGGCATATGGCGGCTTGAAGAGAGAACCACAAAATGTTGACTCCGATGATGCATGATTTTCGAGAGAGATCCATCATCTATTCTTGAGCCACCTACAAACACACACCAATTATAAAAAAGATGATACAACTCTTCTTAAAGTATAAAAATCAAAGAATTGAATCTCAAAATACACAAAACCGAAAAAAATCCCAAACAAATTGGAAATAATAATATATAAATAATTGTCTTAAGAAAAACCTAATTCTAATTAAAAATAATATTAAAGAGGGGCCTATAAGGGCTGGTGGTTGCAGCAGGCGACAAAATCCCACAATTGAGTTTTCATGATATGGACCAACCACATCCCACGATCGTGTCCATAGAATCGCAGAAGTCTTGCTCCCGCATCAGCCTCTATAACATATTCATTAAATGAATATATTACCATTTTTTTTTCAAGTGGTTTAAATTAAATTGTAAAAAAAAAAAGTTGAAAAAAAAGTCCAAAATGAGTTTATATGTAATTTTTTAATGATATATTTATATATATATATTTATTTATATTTGTAAACTCGTAGATATATTTATGATTTTAATTTTTTTTAATATAATTAAATGGGCAATTATCTTTCTCTAAGAATATACTAGTGAGTTAATTTGAGATCTATTTATTAAAATCAAAATTAACTAACTAAAAATATTACCCCTTGAAAAAACAAGCACCAGGTCCTGATCCGAAGCTGGTGTGTGGCTTTACGTGAAATAGGCAAAATTATTTGGCGGATTAAAATATGCATACACCAATGTATTTGTGAATCCAACACCTAAAACTTTATTTTATTTACAATTCCACCCCCAAATTTTTCATATCACCAAAAAAAACACTATTTTAACATTTAAAAAAGTGAAATACACCTTTTCATGCATAGGTAAGGTGACATATACGTAAAAAAATTGAACTTTAGTTGTAGACATGTAAATACATAGGAATTGAGTGCTATGTATGTAAATCTTCCAAAAAAACTAATATAAAAAAGTGAAACTAAACACAACAGATTTAAACTAGTAAAATATGACCACAAAAGAAACTAATGGAAGCTGTCTGTGTCTCTAAAATAAGAATCAATTTCAGAAGAAACTGCCAAATACAATAATAAGACAATCTGTAAGAAAATTTCGAACAGACCTGCAGACAGGATTCACAAAAGAAGTTATTTTCCTCTAAAGTACTAGTTTCTGCAATAAAAAATTTGCATTTGAAATGTATTCTGTGCTAAATATGTTCAAGGCTTTTTTACATAAGCAATTGACACGAATTACTACTACGAAACTTGGTAGGGTTAGCTAACAAACACTGTGTAATAATGGACTTTTAAGCAAAATCTTTCGCAATAGTTAAAAATAAATATTTTTTAGAAGAATTTGAACCATACTTACCGAAAACAGAGACGGTTGATATGCATAAAATTTCTTGGATTGGTATTACAAGAGATCCTTTTAGAATGAAGCCATTTTTCTGTGCAAGAGATTGAGTTCCTCGAGTGTGATCCTGCCGCTTGGGCCATGGAAAAACTCATTCTGTATGATAACTAACTGTCTTTGATTCGAACACCAAACATATGACAAGTTCAAACTATTTCGACTGCTCCTTTATCCCCTTCTCCAAGCGTGGATTTTATGATTTTGTTTCATCACTCCATTCAACTGTCCATGAATGATGAACATAAAGGATATCAAGAGAGAATTAAGATATTTTTTGAAATAATTAACCTCAAGCATACAAAAATATAAGATATGGTGTAGACTTAACAATATATTTAATCATCAGTCTAAGGACCAAGATCACCCAATGCAAGAAGCAACAAGCAAAAAGCCATTTTAATTGGCATAAGTCAATGATTGAAGAAAAGTTAATAAATTTAATGTAACTGATAAATTCTTATCCACCTTTACATATTAAAATTTTACAGCACATTCAGTAGAAGTTATAAAAAAAAAAAAGTCAAAAGATTCAATTCAGAAGAAGTCATAATAAAAAAAGGGAAATTTATATACGTAGCACACAATTATGTATTTACATATCTCACACCTAAACTTTTATATTTAGATATATAAAACTTTGGTGCTTTAGACCTATTCATGAAAATGTGTATTTCACTTTTAAAAAGTGGTAGAAGTGCTATCATTGATGTGATATTAAAGATTTGACTGTTGTGTATAAAAATATGATAGTTTTGGTGTGAGATATGTAAAAATACATAAGAATTGTGTTCCTAAAAATATTTCTTTAACTGATATGGCATATATTCTGCTAATTAAAACTAAAAACAAATCCAAGTAAATGAAAAGTTACCATAATTTCACTCTTCAGTTCAACCAACTTAAGCTCCAACTCTTGAGCATCTACATCCATGCTCCTACTATTGTAAGCTTTGATCATTGTAGCAAATGTGACATAATCAGGATCACATTTCTTCTCCTTCATCAACAAAAACATCTCCTTCATTATTTCTATATCTCCAGCTTCACCATATGCATTGATTACACTGTTGAAGAAAGGAGTATCCAGAAAAACATCACTGTTTTCTATCTCTCTAATGAGGAAAGGAACCTTCTCTACAAGCCCAGCTTTGCTGAATCCACTAACAAGCGAACAGTAAGTAATGGAATTTGGTTTGATTCCTTCCATTTTCATCAATCTAAAATAATACTCCATCTCATCAATCTTTCCCCCTTTCCCAAAACATTCAATTAAAGTATTGAATGTAATAGTGGTGGGAGAAAAACACCTTTTTTTCATGAAGTTAAGGATTCTGATCATCTTCTCATACATTCCAGACTTACCATATGATTTAATCAAAATATTGAAGGTGGTAAGATCAGGATCAATGCCCATGTGCTGAAACTCAATGTACCGTTTCTCCATTTCACTTATTCTTCTTCTATGTCCAAAAGCAGATAGTATAGAGTTCAGTGTGAAAATATCAGGCACGCAGCTTCCGGATTCAAGCATCAAAGAGAGACAATTTTCCATTTCATTGACCAGGCCAGCTTTGCCGTAACCATCTATTAATGTATTATAAGTGACTGAAGTGGATTCTATACCCAAGTAAGACATTTCTGCAAGCAGCGAAGGTATCAGATCGAATCGCCGTAGTTTGCTGCAACACCCGATGAGGATCGTGTAAGTGAAGACATCAGGTTTGCAGTCAGAGATAGCTTTCATTTCATCAATGATGCTCATCACTTCATCAAATAAACCACTGTAGCCGAATGCGCCGACTAGCGATGTGTAAACATCTAAGGTTGGGTTAAAGCCTTCAGAAATCATGGTTCTGAAGAGGGAGGAAGCGTGCTCCGGCTGCCGGCACTTCCCGAGCATCGTCAATAGCCTCGCATATGTTTGGCCTTTCGGACGATACCAGTTTTGTTTGCGGAGTAACGCAAAAATCTGAAAGAAAAACCAAGAGAAGACATAGAAGGGTACTCAAAAAAAAAAATAAAAAAAAAAAAGGATGGGAAAAGGGTAAATGATGACCTTGAGGGCGGATTCCCATCGATTACCGGCGATGGAGTTGTCGAGGGCCTCAAGAACAGCTCTAGGCCAGAGGTTATTGAACTTGGAGGATCTTGCTTTCCCCTCAATGGCGATGACCGCAGCTTCCGTCCTCAAAATCTTGGAGAGTTCCCCCTTCGATTTCTTCAGGAGTCCTTCAAAATTGAAGTTTTTCTTTGCCGATTCAGCAGGAAGTGAACGTCTTCTGTCTTCTGGAGGGGCGGAGGAGGAAGTGATGGACCATGAGGAAGAGACTGGCTGCAGGAGCTCCATTGGAGTGAAGTGGAGAAGGTTGGAAGAGTAGCAGTAAGCCATTGAACCCTATCCGGCTTATTTTATGGATGCAATTAAGGCCGTCCAAAAAGCTCGTTGTTCGGAACAGCCACTCAGCATGTCCACCTTCGAAATAAAATAATATATATAATTATCTCTATAATAATATATTATATATATTATTTATATCATAATATATTATATATATTTATATCATAACATCTAATGTGATAATATGATTAATTTTTTATTTTATTTATATTTGGTTCAGATTTGAATCTCAGACTTTACATCTATTTTTTTCAATTTAATTTTAACAAGCCAATTTCAAGCCAAACACGAAAAAAACACGAACACGAATATTTAAATCGAGCCGAACACGAACACATTGTTCACGAGCAAATTTCGAACACGAGCCGATTTCGAACACGAGTTATTTCGAACGAGCCGAACACGAGTCCAGCCCGAGCTCGGCTCCGCTAGGTGCAATTCTACTTCATTTTAATATGCCGGGTTTTTGCTAAAACGTGAAGGGGTATTTGCATACATTCCACACAATTCTTCTCTATTTACACATCTAAAACCTAAAATGTCATATTTACATGCATAATATTTCCTTAGCATTCCAACAATAATATCATTATTACATACTTGGGGCATTTACAAATACCAATCAATTCTTATGTGTTAATATATCAACCACCCAAACTCCAACTTCTATATAAAGCTCATATCATTCCTATATTTTCAAAATATGTAGGTAGCAGGGCTATGAATTTAGCTCCAAGTTCTTTAATCACTCAAATTTGATTTGAATTTTAACTCGGATCAGGATCGAATCGAAATAAACTAGCCACTTATGAGCCGACCTGGATCAAAATTTTTTTAAGTCAATTTCGAACGATACATAGATCTGCATGAACTGTGATTGGCTCGTATTATTTTTTTATTTATAAAAATTATATTTATAATGCTATGTTAAATTGAATATAATGAGTCCAAAGCTAATTTAGAGCCGATTTCGAGGTGGAATAGATCCAAATAACACAATTTGAGCTAACTCGTTTGAAGTTCAAGCCGGATATAGCTAAAAACTGGAATTTTAGTGTTTGATGTGTTAATACATAGAAATTAGGTGGGAGCAATATAAATCTCCCTGCTTACTATTTGTTAAATATAAATATACCTTTTTAAACATTCATTTTTTCATCCCGGGTGCTATAAATATAAATATAAAAGTTTAGATATTAGATACGTAAATACATATGACTTGGTAAAATATGTATATAATGCATAGATAGGGCTGTAAATGACTCGAGCTTGAGCGAGCTCAGGCTTGACTCGTGTTCGGCTCGTTCGAAATAGCTCGTGTTCGAAATTGGCTCGTGAACAGTGTGCTTGTGTTCGGCTCGATTTAAATATTCGTGTTCGTGTTCGGCTAGTATTCGACTCGAGATTGGCTCGTTAAACTAAAATTGAGAAAAAATAGATGTAAAGTGTGTGATTCGAACCTGGATCAAATCTATACAAAAGAAAACACTAATCACATTTTCACATGAAGTGTTATAATTTAAACTTAGATATAAATATATATAATATATTATTATATAAATAATATATGTAATATATTGCTATATGAAAAGTTATATAATTTTCGAGTCATTTCAAGCCGAACACGAGTGAACAAACTGTTGTTCGTGTTCGGCTCGTTTACATTTCGAGCTTAAGAATTTGTTCGTGTTCAGTTCGTTAGGCTTAACGAACGAGCCGAACACGAGCTGCTTAAGGAGCCAAACACAAATTGTTTACGAACAACGAGCCAAATTGAAACAGCCTTATGCATAGAAGCAAAACCTAATTATGAATTTTGGGAGACAAATCTTCACCGTTTATTATGCATTATATTAATTTAATGAATGAAATTGCTTAATTAGTGCACTGAATTAAATACTCAATGATGTGCCCGTTTAAGAAAGTTGTTAGAAGATTTGACCCTTGGGTTAACTAATTAACCGTGTTTGGATTAGATTGTGCGTTCGATAATAGGAAAGTATTCATTCATCAAATAAAGAATCAGCTTCAAGATCTCAAAATTATTAATACAAAAATATGGATGGGGAAAAAAATATGAGAATAAAATTATTAAAATAATTCAACAAATTTGTAGGATATACTTGTGCAGAGATCATGTGCGTTGTAGTAAAAGCGAGTCGGTCGACTAGCTTGCAATTAAAGGCCCTTGCATGTGTCTTGGTCGGTTGGGATTACAGGCGTGGTTCGCAGATTGAATCTCTCAAAAAAGTGTGTCGGTCGATTTTGATCACACAGTCGCTTGTTGGACGATAGAATGTCTTGATTGTTCGACTGTCATCGGGGTCATTCGATTACTTTGAGATACGTGCTGATAGTTTTGAAATGTACAATTGCTAATGTCAGGGAAATTGTCACCAACATATGTCAATTTTAATTTTATAAACACTTTCATGTATGTGGATGCAAGGGCGGAACTAGATTATGTTCACGATGAACAATTGTCTCATAAAATTTTTATTATATATATATATATATATATA